TGGCTCCAAGCATCCAGTCCAAGGCAGACACCATAAACCCCTTTTTTTCTGCACGCGTCATGTCCAATGGCGCATAGGGTTCATAAGGCCAAGCTCCTACAGAACAATCTCTGCCACTGTGCATCCAGATTTTCATTTCACTCCAGAAAGCTATTGGAGCTTAAAGCGTGTAGCGTACAACGAATGCTGGATAGGCTTGCTCACCGTGGAAGATGACAAACTCCTGGTGAATCTGCTGGGCCTGGGGGTTGTGATGCCCTTCTACAGTGCCCGGATTCACGATGACGGAGCTGTAAGTGCCATCAGCGCCTGTTCGCTTCGGGGGCCTCCTCTGGCCCCGGAGGATCCTCGTCGTGTGGAAGGCGTCACCAAGCACCACGCGACAAAGAAGCAAAGTCCGTTCACCACACTCTTCCATCGCATACTGGTGAGCTTTACAGGCAGCAGATGTGAAGTAGGTGCCATCACCGTACATGCCGTTCAAGCCACATCGATGATCAAAACCTTCCTGCAAAATGGACACCGCCTTATCATGGGATGTACCATGCAGCAAGATCTTCTCATCCACATCTTCAGCCAAAGTCTCTCCGCAGCTAAATGTTTGCTGGGCATCTGACAACACCTGTTCGTGCACTCCGGGGTCGCACAGAAGCTCTGCCCTTGTGCGCTGCACACTGTATCTTGCCTGATCCTCTCGGACTGCCGTGAGTCTAGCCTTGTATCTGTGCCAGAGCTGAAAATGCTCGATCCGGTGAACAGTAATGACCCTTGCCGTTTGCATACATGCGCAAGATGCATTGTGACTTGTTGAGCGCAGGATTTCACCAACACTATCGAGAATCCGCGGATCCGTGACTTTCACCTGAAAAGTATGCACTTGAACACTTTGCGTCAACAAAGCTGATGGAGCACTTGCCCAGTTCTGGGGCACTCCGGCACAGATGCGGATATCACGCGATCTGTTTGTGGAAGGGTTGATCTGAAGCATCCGGTCGAAGTCCACAATGCGTTCAACTCCACCAGCAAGGATTCTTGAGCGGCTTCTGTTCTGCGTGTCATCGAGGAAGGCCAGATAAGCCTCATGCATCTGTTCATCACCTTCAGGCGTGAAAGCATGCCAGCAGCCATTCATGCAGTACTGCCAACATGCACGATGTCTGAGACTCTGACTTTTTGTCAGGAGATTCAAACGTCCTTGCAACTCACTGACCTGCTCCTCACATGCTTGGCGCCGGTCTCGTTCGCTGAGCAGCTGGACTTCGGCAACTTCTCGCGCCTCTCGCTCTCGAGCAACATCTGTCTGAGCAGCCCGCAACTCCTTGGTCAACTTCTTGAGGGCACTCTCATGGCCCATGCGCATCTGAGCAAGATCCCTCTCAAGACCGTTGCGCTTGGCCCGCTCATCCTCATACCAGCGAACGGAAACGAATTTGCGGCGTTGATCTTTAACCATGGCTCACACGTGAGTGGAAAATATCCAGGACCACTTACCTAGTCCAAGACTCAACCTGAGCACTTTGGGCCGCTGAATGCAAGTAGAGGCTCACCAACCCAAGGCTTTGCCATGAAGACATGAGGCGGTCAAGAGAAACGCACTAGCTACATACAATATAGGATTACATTACCCGAGTAATCAAGAATCAAATGGAAAAGAAGATGGAAAATGAAATGGACACTGGGATGATACAGCGGATTGTGACATACGCTCTTTCAGCAGCGTCAGCGGCAGCAAACACGAAAGAACAAAAACGATGCCGTGCCTGACCCGCTTGATCGGATGGACGAGCCCTGGGCAACACTTTACTGCAGACAGTTGTGCCAGCATTCCATGAACCCAAGACACCAAACCCCAAACTCTGAACCCGGAACTCTATCTGAACCTAAAACCTGAAACCTATGCGCGGGACCTTAATCCTGAGCCACAAAGGAAGCTTCTTCAGAAGACATCACGGATTTCCCTGTGGCTGTAGTGTGAAAGAGCATATTAGTTGTACAAGCGAGCCTACAAACGAAGAAAAATAATTAGCGAAACAACAAAGTGGGGTTTTTATTAGTCCTTCATTATGCCCTTAATAGCACTTGCTTCTAATGTTTACTGGTGATGGAGAAAAACCCATGAAAAGATATTATAATTAGGGCTTTTTCATCACCAGTGACGGCCCGATGAAGGAGCTACTCCAGAGAGGAAATATGAATGGCAAAAACAAGACACAGGTAAGATGACAATAATGATGCCCGGTTGTTGCAAGTCTATGGAAGTCTCCGCAATGCCAGCCTCAGTGCTCGAAACCACGCGATGCATTCCGGCCGCCTAAGTTTCACCAGCAGGTTTTTATTAAGTGCTTTGGTTTTAGAATTGAGGGTTTAGGGCTTGGGTTCTTTGAGTTTAGAGTTTAGGGTTGGGGCGTCTGCAACAACACAGGCCAGGGAGGGGCCCGGTAGCGGAGCGTAGGGAAGGGAAGGGAAGGTAGTTTCAGCTTGCTGCGGATCTGAACCTTCAATCCTAAACCCTATTTATCCGTGGCTAAGCCTTGTTGCTGTAACATTTAGATGTTCACACAATGCTCAGTTTCATGCGCCGTTGCTTGTTAAGGGTCTGTTGTAGGGCACGTAAACGTTTGAGATGGTTCGAGGAGAGATGGCTTCGGGGGGCAGTTTGCACAGGGAGGGCTGCTCCGAGGAAGCTTACTGACTTAAAGATAGTCATGATTCTAAAACTTCCAAAATGCTAGGGCAGAAGGTACGCAGGGTCATGCAAGATTTTTGGTATCTTCGTCGAACGCTTCTTCAACGCCTGTGATTCTTCTGTCGCTTTTTCAGTAGAAGCACCGTGTCCGAAGGACACGACATCCAACGAAGCTGTGATCTTCAGATCCCGAGGTTGCTCCTGTCGCAGCTTCCGCTTTTGGGCACTTGGACTTTTGATTGCACACATGTAAGGAGCTGACCTTGTGCTTCTGGATGTCAGCTACCAACCTTCCTCTGCTAACCTATGTGCTGTCGGAAGGGGAGCAAGACAAGCGCCTCTAGAGCAAGTTGCCTATCGTGATCGAAGATGTGCCAACAAACAAAACAGCACAGAAAGTGAAGACACACCAGCAAGCAAAGCGAAGGCGCACCAATAAGCAGAACAACCGCACATAGTAAGCGAAGATGCACCAGTAAGCAAACCAATTGCACCAAATAGTTAGGGAGTGGGGCTTGCAATCCGGAGTTGTTGGAACCAAACCGCGTCCAAAAAGAAGGGAGCGGGGCTTTTTTGGAACTGCGAGCCGATCAGTTCGAAAAAGCGAAGCTTCAGAAGTGATGACCGTCGCGAGCATGGAGCGACCCAGGTGCCTCATGCTTATTACTCTGCTCTTTTGAGGCGTGAACAGCAAACCAGAATTACAGTGCGCGTGCAAACGGGGACCGCTAACTGATTGTTACTACTTGCCCCGCAAACCTTTTTTGCCCCACTTGCCCCATCCGTTAAAAGCCGAAGGTCCCTCTGGTACCTTTTCCCTTGAAAGCACGAACCCGGCCTATCTAAACCAAGTGCGGACACACTCTTTTTCACTCGCAGGCCTTGAGCCAAAAGTCACGAAGTGCGCAAACTAAACGAATTCAGTGGTGAGCTTTAACGAGCTTCAGAACAAAGTTCCTACTCTCTGCACACTCACTCAAAGTAGCGTATTGGGCAAAAACATACTCGTATGATTTCCTAGGGAAATCATCGAGGCAAAAGCATCGAGGATGGGATCACAACGATTCCCAATCACTCCGAAGCAAAACAAATCTATACAAGCTGATCCAAAATATGACAAAACCATCAATGATCAGCCACGATCTTCCACCCCCCGCATTTTGCTGAGGGTTCATGTCAAAGATCCGAAGTCCAAGCACTGCTCGGCACTTCAACACTACGGGGATGCCCAGGCCACATTCCCTTGGTGTGTACTCGCCACCAAAACGAAACAAACGACACACACAAGACGATCTCTGACATTAAACTTAAACTCATGCAAGCTCCCACCATGAGGCAGGTTGTCCTGGGTCCAACTGGTACCCAAGAGTTCGTTGTCAAAACCACGTGACAAACAAATTCAACTTACATCCACCTGTACTAGACAGGGATGTCTTGGAAAGTCTCCAAGAGTTCGTTGTGGCAAACACGTTGAAACGAATTAGTGCAAGTTTCAGGCTCACCCCATTTTCAGTACTCGACCTCGACGTGGACATAGCCTTCAGTCTCGCAAACTCCAGGAAAGAACCAAAAACTCGTTGGCAAATCGTAACGCCACCAACGTAGCGGCAGGTCCAAAAAGACAAACAGGCAGCAATCAGAAGACATCATCACTTTGCTGCCGCTTCAACCAAGCGAAAAACACACGCGCTGACTCAAGCTCCTTGAAACCAATGGAAAAACGCTGGCGGCGCGGAAGCCACGGCGTCCCTAAAACGGCTGCAGGGCTTTTCACAACCCAATGAGGTCTGCAAGCACCTCAATCCAGATCTTCACCAGAAGGGTCATCTTTCTTCTCCGCAGCGTTCACATCTCGCGAAGACTTGCTTGGCTCCGATGATCTCTTCCTTTCATTCAGCATCTTCTCAAGATCCGCCACGCTCAAGCTTGCTCTCACTTGCTCGCCGATTTGCGCGATCGTTGCAGCATCCAGCACCGGCGAAGCCTCTGAGGTCGGTGAATGCACCGACTCTTCTCGTTCAACTCGGGCCTTCTTACTCGCCTCCGCTTCTGCTGCTGCAAGCTCAGCGATCCTCTTTCGTTTCTTCTCTGCCTCGTCAAACTCACGATCTTGCTGGACAACCGCATCCTTCACCAGCTTTTTCAGAGCTTGCTCTTCAGCTTCCAGATCACCAATGCCTTCGCTCAGCATCTGCCACACCTGTTGCCACATATCCGACGGCATTGCAAGATTGAATCTCCCTGCATACTCCGAGGGGAGATGCCACATGCAATGGCATTCCCATTTGATCAAACGTCTGGTCTCGTGATCTACGACCTCCCTCCATCCAGTGGCCTTGTCTTTCTCTTCTTCATCCGTGAAGCCAGCTACCGTTCCCAACACAGTTTTGTAGTTGCCATAGGCATGAAATGCCCATCGAGGCACTGGTCGGCTCTGGCTCGCCAGGGTTGGATCATGGATCCTCATCGTGACGCAAGTCATCATCGCTATCATTTGCACGCTCTCCAACATCGTCTTGAAGACCAAAAACCCAGCTCGCGCGTGCTCGAAAGTGCATATACTCTTGCCTTTCTTAATTGGAGGGGCAACAGCAACAGCATTGGATGATGCAGCAGCAACGCATGAATATTCTCTCTCCACCTTAGAATCTTCCTGAGGAGAACATGTCCAGTTCGTCTTCGGGAAATATGGGTGCATTGCCAGTGGGTACCTTGGCGCAGGGGACCCAGATGTTCCGGGTAGCGACTTACCACCAAGGTCTCCACCTGTGAAAAAAGACGGTGAAAAAGAGATGTGTTTGCCCGATCAGACGTGGTTGCCCAGTTTGCCGACCATTGACTTCTCGTCGTGGAAAGATCGCATCTGGGTAGCGCTCGGCTTCTTGACCTGGAGAAAGCTTCCCGCTCGAGGTTATCCGGCCCGAGAACAGAATCCAGAACTCCAGACAGCAAAAGGCAGGATCGTACGGCCGGAACCGCTCGGAAGTCGATGTTTGACATCTTCCAATCTAAGGGTCGCCGTATGCTTGGAGATCGCTCACATTCTCGAGTCCGGCCAATCCCTCAATCGCTAACTCGCCGGCGTGGACGCGGTCTTGTATAAAGCCTTGCCTTTGCTGCGCAATGCCTTTCTCCTCAGGTCAAGACTACACTCAACCCTCACAGCACAAAGTACGGACTCTTTTCTTCACTGCGCTCTTCACAGTTCTAGAGCTCCGCCGTCTTGAAGCCAAAGGCGAGCACGGCTCTTCAGAAACAGAAACACCGTCTGCCAGACGTGGAAAAATAAAGATACTTCAGTGCCTCTTAGGGACTCCACTGAGCTCTGTGCAGCTCGAACTTGGCTTGAGTCACTGCTGGTCACCACACCAGGTCACAAACAAGAAACGAGTTCCAGCAGACCTGAGCTGACCCCCATAAAGCATCAGACCACCGTTTCATCTTGGGTCATGCCCAATATCCTTGGAAGAGAGTCTCTAGCCCGCTTGCAGTAGCTCAGGCTTGTTGACTGCCTCGACTCATCTTTGAGTCTTCACTGCATGCATCAACTCGTTGGGAAACACTTTCGAACCCAATCCAACCCAACTGGTCAACTTCTCCATGCCGACTTGCGGAACTCCAGACCGAATACTCAACCTTGCTTATCGAATTCTGCACGTGTTCGCGTTCGAGTCTACACGCGGGAAGATATGCACCAAGTACTCATCCTGCCCATAACCCAAGAGGTTGATGGAACCTCGAATGACACCGTGGAGCGGGTCATCTCG